TGGTTGTACATGATGTAGCATCACACCATATGTGCACTCATACATGTTCCTAGGGTAGTGATGTCCATCTCATTCCACCATCTTTCCTGCCCCCATGCCTCCTCCCCATCCCTCCCTCCTCTTTGACCAAAGTTCCTCCATTTTATCCAGGTCCCCCATTATAGATCAGCATTCACTTATCAGAGAGGACATTAGGCCTTTTGTTTTTTGAAATTGGCTTATTTCACTTAGCATGATATTCTCCAATTCCATCCATTTATCTGCAAATGCCATGATTTTAATCTCTTTTAATGCTGCATAAAATTCCATGTGTATATATACCACAGTTTCTTTATCTATTCATCTATTGAAGGGCATCTAGGTTACTTCCACTGTTTAACTATTGTGAATTGAGCTGTTATAAACATTGATGTGGCTGCTTTACTATACTATGCTGATTTTAAGTCCTTTGGTATAACTGAGGAGTGGGATAGCTGGGTCAAATGGTGGTTCCATTCCAAGTTTTCTAAGGGATCTCCATACTGCTTTCTAGATTGGTTGCACCCATTTGCAGTTGGATCAACACTTGGAGAGAAATTGGGAGGCAACGTAGTAGTTTCACTTGAAGGAAAACCATTATCAAATGACCATCAAGTGCCATCTGGATCTTAAGGGGATTTCATTTCTCCATCTCAGTCCATTGGAATAGCATTAGGTGTTTTTTCATTTTTGTTTTTTTTTTCCCTTTCCTCTGGGCCCTTCCAATACAGTGAATGAAGGAGATATCATTCATTTAAGCAGCCTGTCAGTGATTGACATTAGACTCTTCAAAATGGTTACTTTTATGTAGAAGGAATATCTTCCTGTCTTTATTTTAGCCAAAACAACTGATTATATGCCTCCTTTGCAGCAAGCACTACAATGAATGTGATTGTCAATGTGAATAGTCTAGAATACTGCAAAGGGTAAGCAGATTGAATGCCTTGAAAGTATTACCCACTGGTCAGATGGTGAACTTTTTTCAGTATTATTTATAGTTGCACTTGATTGTAGTTCTGTGAGGCCCTGGAGCTCTACACCTCACCTGCCTTGGCAAGCCTTCTTTTGTGACATGGCAGCACGAATATAACACTATGCATTAAAAGCACTTTTTAAAATGAGTTTAATTCCCCCAAAGGAACGTCAATTAAGTTTCACTAACTGTGTCATCAATTTATCCTAGTACCTGAGTGTTCATTCGTATTACCTGCATATCTTCTTAAAAGAAATAGCTGTTATTAATGCCTTTTTGTTTTCCATTGAATGTACACTACTGAATAAGTGTAGGAGTTTTATGTTTACCCTGTGAGTCTTGCAGCACTAAAGATATTTTGAATATCAGTCATGATGGCAATTTCTGTATAAAAGAGCCTTAAATGGAACATTGTTTTGAGATCAAACTCCCCACCCTCACAAAAATGGCCAGGTTGCAATAAAAATTGTGGCATGTTAAAAAAATAATAAAATAAATTATGTATGTCCTCTTGACTCAAGTTTGGTTGATTGGAAGTTTGTTGATGTGTTCGAGGTTTTCTATTTTACTGGAGTATAAATTTTCAAAATGGTTTCCAATTGTCTTCAGTATTAAAAGAATATCTGTAGTGATATTTCCTTTTTCATAGCAAATTTTAGTATAATTTGAATTTTCTCCCTCCTTTTGCATTAGGGTGGCTAAGGGTTTGTCAATTTTACTTATTTTTTCAAAGAACCATCTTATCGTTTTGTCAATTTTTTAAATTGTTTCTTTAGTTTCAATTTCATTGATTTCCACTCTGACTTTAATTATTTCCTGTCTTCTTCTACTTTTGATGTTGGTTTGTTCTTTTTCTAGGGCTTTGAGATGTAATGTTATGTCATTTATTTGTTCACTTTTTTTTTGTTTTGATGAATGAGCTTAATGCAATGAGCTTTCCTCTTAGCACTGCCTTTATAGCCTCCCAGAGATTTTGATAAATTGTATCAGAATTCTTATTTACATATAATATTTTTTATCTCCTCCCAGATGTCTTTTGTTATTTATGCATCATTCATTAGTGTATTGTTTAGTCTCCAAGTATTGGAGTAGCTTCTCTTTTTAATTGTGTCATTGATCTCTAATTTCATTCCATTATGTTCAGATAGAATAGAGAATAGTATCTGTATTTTTTTTTTGTATTTCCTAAGAATTGCTTTGTGCCTTAACATTAGATCTGTTTTGGAGAAGGATACATGTGCTGCTGAGAAAAAAATGTATTTGCTCGCTGATAGATGGAATATTCTATATGTATTTGTTAAGTCCAAATTATTGATTTACTATTGAGTCTTTTAGTTTCTTTGTTTAGTTTTTGTTTGGAAAATCTATTCAGTGTTGGGAGAGGTGTGTTAAAGTCACCCAGTATTATTGTGTTGTGGTCTATTTGGGCCTTGTATTTGAGAAGGGTTTGTTTGATATACATAGATGCCCCATTGTTTGGGGTATAGATATTTTCGATTATTATGTCTTGTTGATGTATGAATCACTTTAGCAGTATAAAATGTCCTTCTTTACCACTTTTCACTAGCTTTGGTTTGAAGTCCACTTTATGTAATATGAGGATGGAAACCCCAGCTTGTTTACATGGTCCATGTGAGTTGTATGATTTTTCCCACCCTTTCACCTTCAGTTGGTGGAAGTTTCTTCCTATAAGTCTCTTGAAGGCAGAATATTGTTGGGTCTTTTTTTTAAATCCAAGTCTATGAATCTATGTCTTTCAATTGATGAATTTAGGCCACTCACATTCAGATTTATTATTGAAATATGATTTGTATTCCTGGATATTTTGGTTTATTTTTGGTTTTTAACTTGATGTGGTTGCTCCTTTGACTGGTCTTTCCTTTAGTGTAGTTCCGCCTTTTGCTGATTTTCATTGTAGTTTTTCATTTCCTCCTCCTGGAATATTTTGCTGAAGATACTCTGTAGTGCAGGCTTTCTCACTGTAAATTCTTTTAACTTTTGTTTATCCTGGAAGATTTTTATTTCATCATCAAATATAAAGCTTAGTTTTTCTGGATATTAGATTCTTGGTTAGTATCCATTTCCTTTCAGAGCTTGGTACATGTTGTTCCATGATCTCCTGACTTTGAGGGTTTGGGTTGTAAAATCTGAGATACGAATTGGTCTCCCTCTATATTCCTCTCTCTTGTGGCTTTTAAGATTCTATCCTTATTCTGTATGCTAGGAATTTTCATTATAATGTGACTTGGTGTAGATCTGTTGTAATTTTGTAGATTTGGTATCTTGTAAGCCTCTTTTATTTGGTTTTCCAATTCGTTCTTCATGCTTGGGAGATTTTCTGATATTATCTCATTGAAGAGATTGTGCATTCCTTTGGTTTGATACTCTGTGCCTTCCTCTATCCCAATAACTCTTAGATTTGGTCTTTTGATGATATCCCATGATTCTAGGATGTTCTGTTTGTGATTTTTTACCATCTTCACTGTGTGGTCAAATTTATTTTCCATGTTGTATACTTTGTCTTCATTATCTGACATTATTTCTTCCAAGTGATCTAGTCTGTTGGTGATGTTTTCTGCTGAGTTTTTTATTTGGTTTATTGTTTCCTTCATTTCAAGGATTCCTGATTTTTTTTCAGAATATCTATCTCTTTCTTGAAGTAAACTTTTGCTACCTTTATTTGCTCCCTTATCTCTTTGTTGGTGTGATCAATAGTCACCTGTATTTTCTCTCTTATCTTTTTTTTCAAGTGATCATTTTTGCCTGTATTTGCTCATTTATGTCATCCTTTAATTCACAGATCATTTTAATTATGTATATTCTGACCTCTTTCTCTGGCATTTCATCAATTGTGCTGTGCATAGATTCTGTTATGGTAGTATCCTAGTTTGTTTGTGGCCCTTTCTTCCCTTGTTTTTTTCATGTTGTCTTTGTACCTTCCTTTCTTGCATTGTGGATCTGAGATATTACAGTTTCCACCCTATAATATTTTAATATCTATGCAGATTATCTGAACCTCACCTTGGTGTTGGGCTTCCAGACACTAATGGTGTCCTGTGATGGATGTTACTGCAAATAAAGGTGGTGACAGCAATACTGGAGGTAACTCGAGATAGCAATGGAGGTGTCCCATGATGGATGCAGCTCTTTCAGAGATGGGGCTGAAATGGTGGGCCTTACAGTGGCTTTGGAATGCCTGTTCCAAGATGCAGCTGCTTCTTATAATGTCCATATACAGCATAGGCATACTAATTCAAATTTTCAGAAGGTGAAGGGTGCTGCATGGGGAGAGTTATGGCAATGGTTGCAGTATCCCAAGATGGAGGTAGATTAGGCCTGGGCCTCCAGGTGGGGCCTAGAGGATGGACCAAGGCCTACCCTGGGCCTGGACTCCTGAGTAGGTCTGCTGGCCGGCTGGGACAGTGCTGAGCTAGGATCTGAGCTCTGGAGTGAATGTACTGGTCAACCGGGGTGGTGGGGGATGAGGGCCTAACCTGGACCTGGGCTCCTGCACAGGTCAGCAGAGGCAGTCCTAGGCCTGGGCCTGGATCCAGTGTTGGTCAGCAGGTCCATAATTTATTTTTTTATTTGTTCTTGAAAAGAAAGAAAATAGACATGATGCCAAATGATAAATGTGCCCTTTTTTGAAAATGGAGAATAGGGATCACAGCTCTCAAATGTGTTGGCATATTTGCATTTTCGGTTACTAAACAGCTTCCTCCTTTCAGAAATGTATTCCCAAATTGCTAACTGAGAAGCCTTGGTATCTTTGAGAATAAAAGATGTGTTCCTTTGATGCACTCTGAGTACTTTTAACACAACTGAACACCTGTAAATCAAAAAGAAAAAGAAAAAAAAAGACTTAATTCAACTTAATTCTCAGAACACTTTTCCTGTTACTTTAAAAACGTGGTTTCTTATTTTTTTTATTGAGCCCAGGGGCACTTAGCCACTGAGCCACATCCCCAGCTCTTTTTATCTTTTATTTAGAGACAGGGTATCACTAACTTTCTTGGGGCCTTGGTAAGTTGCTAAGGCTGGCTTTGAAAATGCAATCTAGCAACACACACTTGCCTCAACTTCCAAAGCCACTGAGATTACAGAAAGGTGGTTTCTTGACCTGTAGGGGGCCAGCTTTCTTCTTTTCCTTCTCCAACATTTTCCATTTTCCTTTGTCACTTTCTAGCAATTTTACCTGAATGGAAAAGTGTTTATAAGATCAAGTTATGAGAAGACATACAAAATAATCATGTGACACACACAAAAAAAATCTATATTCAAGGAGTTCCAAAGGAAGACAGAAGATCAACATGCCAAGGCAAGGTTGCTAAACTGGTGGTTGGGCCACGAAGCTTGGGAAGAAGCTGAGATTTTTTGAAGACAAATTGGCCAATGTTGTAGTGGAACCTGTATCAGGATATATGCAGGAGGGAATAAATTCATAGCAACACCTCTTGGTAAGTAACTTTTCCTTTTTATCCTAGTAATGTAAAATGAATAGACACTTTTTAGAAAAAAAAACAAACTTAAAATCAACCTTATCTGTCTCTGCCTCATTCTTGTCTTCAGAACACAAAGGACCAGTCTGCAGGACTGGGCTGCTGGATATGGAAACAAAATCACTTTGTAGATGTTTTTTTTTTCTCTACAGTGTCAGGAAATGTATTGATATTATTCTTTTAGAAAGTACATACATACAAAGGATAGCCTCAGGATAGAAATTAAAATACATTAAGAAGCATTTTTGTTACCACTGGTATAAATTATTGCTTTAAGAAGCTTTTGATTGTAGGTCTTTCATATTAAAATCCTCCAAACAGATTTTTAGTAGTTGTCTTCTCTATATTTTGAAATCAGACATAGTATTCCATTATCCAGATAACCAACAAAATCAATATTTTTGATTTTGAACTCTTCCCTAGCAATAGTACAAAAAATTAATTCTCATAGTACATTGCTACAGAACATTAGTAAATCCCTCTTCATCTACCTCTAGCTCTTTAGATGAAAGGCCATTATTCAACTTCTATGTGACAGTGATTCTTGTTGTATTGCCTATAGATGGCACAGATTACTGAAATTTGCTTGTTCCACACATAACTTCAATCCAAGGTTTTCTTTTCTCATATGCTCATTCATTCTCTATCCATACATTTATTGAACATGGTTTTGTCATTGCATGCTGAAGATTAAAGGGTAGATTACACACAGGCTTAACACTTAATAGCTTCCTGGCCCATAGGTGTGTGTTGCTAGATTTTGCCTTGGTTGTGCCTCACTGTGGTTTTTTTGCCTCTGAATTCCAGAGAGGCTGGAGATCCTGGGTTGAACTCTTTTCATTTCTTAATTTGTGTGGAACTTATGGCTTATAATGTCCATATACAGCATAAGCATACTAATTAAAATATTGGAAACATAAATAATTTAAGCTGAAATGAAACAGTCTGAATAAATGATATTCATATTGGACAAGTGGTACTGTATTTGGCAGAAGAATTTGATGAAATGACCCCAAACTAGCCCATTACAAAAAATAATAATAATGTTAGGTAATTTATTTTTTGTAGGCCAAACAGCACACTAAAGCATTTCATTGTCTTCTGTCATCATTCAACAACTCCTTATAAGAAAACTCTCATTTCTTTTTCACAGTGAGGATTACAGAAGTTCATTTACTTCCTAGTCACAGGATCAGCAAATGTGGCAAAGATTGAGATTCAGTGGAGACTTGTCACTCCAAAGCACCTGATCTAGACCATTATGTGATTTTGCAAAATTAGGCCTGTTGTGATATTCTGAACTTTTTCTTCTGTAACTTGTCTTTACATGGGCAATTTGGCTACTCAATAGCAGCTCACAATTTGTATTATTACTCATGCATGATGAGCACAATGTTTCTGCTTCTAATCATGGCACTGGATTACTCCTCTCTCCCCAGAAGATATCATGGAAGTCATACTGAATATGCATTTACTAAATACTCAAGAAATAAATCTTAGTGCACTTCTGCAGAATGACAAGTCATTTTAATCCCATTCCTCTCAATTTTCTTTATGTGGTGCTATCAAATTTGCCAGCAATACTGAAGCTGGTAAAAGAACTACAGCAGCTTTACTGAATAACATTTCTTACTTGTGTAGCTGCCTTGACACTTAGGTTGCAAAATGTGCAGAAATACCCACCAGTTAGGACCCTCTGATGGGCAATTTCAATGCTCTGGAGGCTGCAGTGTATATTTTTGAAGTAAAAAACAGCAGTCCTTTCAAAAGGAACTGTTAAAGAGAGCATCTCATCATTATTCATTTCCATTCTGGCAGAGCTCATGACGTCTCCTATCAAGGAAAAAGAAGTAGGTTCATAATCAAAGCCAGATGTTTATCCTTCTACACATATGAACCCCAACATACTAAGAAGTTATTTTGAATATATGCTTATTAAGATTTAACTGTATGATTACTATGATTGGTTGCCTTTGAAATTAAGGAAATAGTAAATATCTGTTTCTGCTTATAATGTTCACTCTCTTAATTGATTGGCCTACAAAATTAAAAATTATATTGTCACAAATAGCAGTTGAGAAATATTGCTTTTTAAAATAACCTTTCCATTAGGAATTTTGCCCAGGCTTCACCCTATATTTTTTTAAAGAGAGAGAGAGAGAATTTTAATATTTATTTTTTAGTTATCGGTAGACACAACATCTTTGTTTGTATGTGGTGCTGAGGATCGAACCCAGGCCGCACGCATGCCAGGCGATTGCGCTACTGCTTGAGCCACATCCCCAGCCCAAGGCTTCACCCAAGGCTTCAAATGAAAACATGAATCACTCCACAATGTTCTGAGTCATCTCAGATCTCAGTGTCTTTAGGTTATCCCATATGGTGATATCACTGGATATTATTCTTTCACAAAGCAAAATGAAGGCATTTTCCCATTTACTATTATTCTATAAATGTGTAAAATAGTATAAATTATACAGACCTCATTCCCAAATAATAATTAGTGATTCTAATTTTATTTCTTTGTTTTGTTTTATTTGTTTTACCAGTGGTATTTCCAATACAGCGTTAACCTACATAAATTTTAGACTGATATCTTCTCCATGTTGGGTTATTGATCAGAGGGCTGGAAGAACAATTTTTCATGTAAAAGGTTGTGCAAAGGATACACCATAAGGCCCTTGTATTGCCTGCTTAACGGGCCTGTTACACCCCTTTTATTGCCTGCTTTACACACCTGTTTAATCACAAGGCAATCCCCATATTTGGTTATTTGGGGGAAAGAAAGCCTCTTATATTCCTGTATTTTCAGCATGTTTAAATTCAACATGTCGTCATCTCTATCACAAAACTAACATTTGTGTCAATGATCTGATTGCTTGTGCCTCCGTGTATTGGGTCATGCAGATAACATATAGAGACCTGAGATAGCTTTGAGGACCAGGCCTTCTGCCCTTTCTCTGATCATTTTTCCTTGAAGTGCCAAGCCGGTAGTTGGAAGCTGTAATTTAGCAGGAGCTGAACAAAAAAGCTTTTGAGACTGATTGTTCTGTTGAAAGCTGGAATTCATGTGTCTTGCTACTAATGATTGGGAAAAGAGCCATTGTTTTATACAACACAGGGAAGCATTTCCACACACTGACTACTGATAGTGATGTTGAATCCATTGGCACTCTTGTCATATTTTTAAGATAAATAAACTCTTTAAATTTATTTGATTTGCTCAGTCACAGATCCTGTTATGAGCAAGTTAACCAGGACCAGAACCCTGGTCTCTTAAGAATTCCAGACCATCATGTTGCCTCCAAAATTTGCAAAACTCACAAAAGCCAAACTCATCTGACTTTTTGCTAAGGGTAGAATCACTGTGTCATATTATGAAAAGGTCTTCGGTGTTGGAACCAAACTTGTTGTCACAGGTGAGTATCAGAAGAATACAGAACTTTTGAATTAATGGAGGGAAGACATGAAATGATTCTACTGGAATAACAGTAAGAATGTCATGTCAAGAGAAAAGAGAGTGAGGGGAGTTTAATGTGCTTGTCTTAGGAGAGATTTTAATACAAATTCTCAGTTAATTTATATGAAGCCAACATTGTATGAATACTATAGTAGGATTTGTCTTTGTTGACATGTGAACTTCTATGAAATGCTGTTATATAATGATATTATTTAAGTGTTTGACAGTGGGACAAATTTTATTATTACGTATAAGTCAGAGATAGACTCAGTGGACTGGACACATTCCTTGTTCTAGTGGTTAAAACTTTGGGGAAGAGACAGAGGATTGCAGTGAGGTCCACCTGGATCTCTGTTTCCCTCAGAGTTCAGGGAAGTTTGGCAATCATTTTGGCATCAGTTTCCTAATTCATAATAAGGGATGACAGTATGAAACCAGAAGGTTATGTGACAATTGAATGAGTTAATGAGAAGAAAGTTCTTGGCACATTATCCAACACATAATAGGTGCCCTGTAAATTTTCTTCCAATTCAAATGTAAAGTGAGTATCATCTCCACTTGGAGAGATGTTTTGATCCAATAACATTTGCTATTCTTCAGAGGATTCAAGTATAGTCCTAACTGCTGCAATGGAAGGTTACTTTAACATTCACTCACAGGAAAAAAAAATGAATCTGGAATTGTTCTTTTTTTTTTTAGAAAAATTTTAGCATTTACTAATAAAAATAACACTAAAATGTGTTTAAGAATTTCTGTTTAAATCATGCTATACATGTTTGAATTTTAATCATATATCTCCACTGAACATGTATCTTATATCAACTTTTATTTCTCCCACAATTTTAGCCAGTAAGATTACTCTGATATATATAAATTGATACACAAAATGCTCTATATGTAAAATCAATGAAACCATGGGAAGCTTGTCACAAATCTAAAATGTATATTAAATATGAAATAGCTATTACAACTTAGTTGATGAAAGAAAAAAAGAAAAAATAGACCATAGTTAAGAAACATTTCACATATAGTTTTGAAATATAACTTCAATAGTAAATTAAATTGTTATTTGATAAACTTATATGAAATACATATCACTGCATTTTAAAATACAAATTAAGCAATGTTATTAGGTAAATGAACACACAAAATTAATTGGATAGGTTTACTGATTTTTAAATAAAATGTGATGGCCATTCTATTCATTATTCAAATAAAATAGGTTGGCTGCCATTTTATGTATAGTAAAAAATGTTTGGCCATGAAAATACTCTTAATACAGATATTTAAAAGCAATGCTTTAGAAGAGCACTTATCATAAGAATTCAGACAATAGGTACTAACTGTACATAATCAAGTACACTACTTACTGCTTAGTCAACTATTATTGAGAAAGTTATGGAAGTTAAAGATTCACTTTATTGTTGTAGCATGAAATTTAAATTATAAAGGAAAGAGGCAAGAGGTAATAATGGTGGGGAATTGTCCATAAACATTTTCCAATCATCATATGAGTTCAATGTCTTCATTTTAATGAATCAGAAGATTCCCCATGAAGAACTAAAAGTCTCTTAGATGAAAATTAGAGTTCTTAACCCATTGACTTTGACTAAAATTATACAAATATAATCCATAATTGAAAATTTAGTCTTAACTTTTATAGCATGAATTTTAAACCACAAATAATGTAGACAGTTGGATAATTATATAGTCTCTTACTCTTTGTGTTAAAAGCAAACTGAGTGAAATTTAAAAAGCATACTAAGAAGAACCAATTGTATTTATAACACATCCAGGAATATAAACATCTTATGATTCTTGATTTTGTTTAAGAGTAAGGAGTTTTGCTATACAGTCAGAAATCATCAAGAACTTTTGATCCTTTCTTCTCAAAAGTGAAATTCAATTTTTCTTTTCCTAAAAAATTGCCTCTGGAATTATTATACTATATTAACTTCAAACTAGATGAAGGGGAGTATTGGCAAAGTATTTGAATTTCAAGTGGAAATCAATTTGAATCATTTAATCATTTACAATAAGTCATTATATTAAAAATAAACTTAAAACCAGCTAACATTCCAGACACAATGACATGCCATTTTAAACAAGGTATGCTTTCTTGTACTTTTTGATATTATATCTGTGAGACACTCTTGAATCATTACTTTTAATATAATACCAATAATATATGCCATTATTCAGCAGATTAAGAGGAAGAGAACAATGGAAGACCAGAACCCAAATATCAGATATAAGTTTGATACAAACTTTTAGACAGAACCTAAGAATCAAATTTAGGTGTAATGAGATGTAAAGATCCTCTCCTTAAACCAGTTAATTCCTATCAAAGCATGTATGAAAATACGGTAGTGATGCTTGAACTTCAAAAAAAAATTATAATAACAAAATCTGTTTTTGGAAAACATTTTCAAAAGCAAACGTTTTGATAAGCACATTAATTGATGAGATCAGCACAATAGAATTTTACAATATAATCAATGTAAACATTTACTAGGAGTTTTTAAAATGTCATTTTGTGGCAAAATTCAAAACACTGTGGAATTTGGAAGTACAGGGTTAAACACTGCCCAACACAAAGGCCTGGAGTAGGTCACATATGAATGTGAGATGTTGTAAAACATCAGACATTAATTGGAAAAGGAAAAATCTTTAGAACTTGGCAAGGGAACTACATTTGAAGCTAAGAGATGAACTGATATACTGTAAGTATTCAAGAAATGCATGCCCAGTGAAACAAGTGACAGTGTATTATTACAAACTTAAAAGTAAACCTACCTCCTGACATTTATTCATATGAGAAATAAGATAAGTAGGATGCATTCAAGAGTCAGCTAAATGAAAACTGGCTTGCACAGAATCACAGAGCATGAAACTATGAGATACTTGTTCAGAGAGCAGAAGTGCCAAAAGATGGGCAAAGGAAGCACTTGAGAAGCACTTGAGAAGGAGAAGGGACCACAGAGCCTCATTTACAGAGGTCACTAAAGTGGCATGGTTGTCTTCCCCTCCTCTGAATTATACCTTGACAAAATGCTCCATTATCAGAAAACCAAAGAGATAGAAAAAAAAAAATAAGTGGCGTTATGAGCATAGAAAGCCTTGTTCATGAACAGTTAGAAGTCACATCCTCCTCAGTATGTTGAGAACAAAGATCAAGTTTTCATCCAGGCTCTGACATTTCATAGCTGTGACTTTTGACAAGCTACCTAACTTCTTTACACAACTGTAAAGTAAGGACAATAATTAATACTTTACTACCTCTGAGAGATGAAAGACCAGGATGGTCACTATTTCAATGGAAACTTGCTTGTGCTAACAAGCAATATTTGTGTTGCTCCAATTATTCTTTTAAATTGATATTCCTCCACAGATAAAAGGTTTGATGCAGACACTTCCCCGAAGCCCACGATTTTTCTTCCTTCAGTTACTGAAATAAAACTTCATAAGGCTGGGACACATCTTTGTCTTATCGAGAACTTTTTCCCTGATGTTATTACGGTATTTTGGAAAGAGAAGTATGGTGATAGGATTCTGGAATCCCAGCAGGGAGATACCATGAAGACTAAAGACACTTACATGAAGATGAGCTGGATAACTGTGACTGAAGAATCAATGGATAAAGAGCGCAAGTGTGTTGTCAAACATGAGAAAAATAGAGGGGGAGGTGATCAAGAGATTCTGTTTCCTGCAATAAAGAAAGGTATGTGCACATGAATGTAAATATAAATTTCTAGAAAAAATATTTTGAAATGGAATTATCCATCTTTTCAATCAAGTATTAAGAAAAACAAGTATGTCTTTTTTAAAAATCATATTTCATAGTAACGTAAATTCCCTATTATTTTCCTTATTGAAGTAAAATGATATAGACAGGTGAAAACATGGAAAAATGCCTTAAGCTTTTTAATTCTCTATTTCAATATTTAAAATATTGAAACAACAAGATATGTTTTTAGAATTTTATGTGGATGAAATAAATAACATACATGAAAGGATCTAACAAAATGTTAACTGCTGAAAAGTGTCTTCCATTTCGGATGATTTTATTTGATTTAGAATTTTTAAAATCAGAACAATTATAGTCTTTCAGACTTCATTCTTGCCATGCACAAAGTTTAATCTACAAAGAAGGAGTGCTCAGTTAACAAAATGGTGCTCAGACAAGAGTAAGAACATAGTTCAAAAGCAAAAAATAAGGAAGAAATAAACTTGACCACTGAAGTATTAAGGTGGCCTTGAGTTGTTCTGATTTTTATTTTACATATCACTGTTAAACAATGTTTATTGACTTATGCTTGAATAAGGCTAACATGTATGAAAATACTCCACTTCTCTGTGATGCAAATGCTTCTTGCCATTGGTAAATGCAGCTATATACATGTTTCCTGTTCTGCTAGCATACTCCAGGCCTGAGTTGGAATGTGATGAATATTCTAGGATTAGTGCCCCTAATAGGACTTGCTGCAGGCAATAGAGAATCCTCTTTCCCTATCACTCAGGGCCATGTATGACTCAGGCATAATGTCCCAAAGGAATCCTTTGGATGTAGTGAGGTACATATCCACACAGCTGGGCAGAGCCCTGACTGTGCAGAAGCCTAGAAGTAGTCCAGAGACTCAATAGGTAACACAGTCCTGAGTGTTAAACAACAGTTGAAATGTCGCAGTGGGCATGGGAAGCAATCTTTTTATAATTTTCCCAGTGGCCAGAAGCCCCATTTTATCAGTGAGGAACACAAACATAGTAAAAGTGGTGAAGACCTTTTCCGTGTTCCACCCAGCTTTTCCAAGTAAGGATTCAGCCTCTGGGGACCCTTACTTTCTGCTATGACCAATGAGGTCTGAACATTTGCCTGATTTTCCCTGGAGCTATGATGAAGATCAAATGAAAAAAGGTAGATCCTGGATTCAGTTATTTATATATTTATTGCTCTTATTCATAGCCTTTCCTAAAACAAATTAAAGTAAGAATACAAAGACCTCATCAATTTTCCATTTCCCTTGCTGAGAAACAGAGGGAAGACACGTAAGTAACATACAAGGTTAACTTAACCACTACGTTTATATGCCCAATTAGGCTCATATTTTTGTAGCAATTAGGGAAAAATAAAAATAATAGTAAGTTCCATGGTGATGAATATCATGCAGGAGAGAGGTTCCAGTTTAATAATGATTTACAAGGCACTAATTTTAAAACAAATTACTCTCATGGGTTCTTGTCACTAAAGTGCTGAAGTGGGAGCTTCTTCTATCCATGACATTCTACAATGCTTTCCATTGGTGATTATTAAATTTTTTTTTTACAAAAATAACACCTGGAAGCACAAATGAGTGAAATAATTATTTTTAAGGTAGATAAAATTAATTGGTTCCAATTTGCGACCAACATTGATTTAGACAATTTAGAAAACACAGATTTTATTATTAGGGACTCTGCTGTATTCTTTCTGCCTCAATCAGTTCCAATTAGTTCATGGTGATTGTGACTGTCATTTATCTTTTAGTGAATAAAGTCACTTTAAGAAAACTAATGTACCTTCAAGTTCTAAAAGTCAGTTCTTGAAAATATTTCAAATCTAAACATGACAATACTTACATTTATATTTTGGAACTAACTCCCAAAATCCTATACCACAACTCCATCTTTAAAAATACAAACAGAATACTCAGTGTTCAATGAAATGCTGTAGGGGAATTGTATTCACATGAACAAGAATGCATCTAGAGAAAAAGAATAAACAAAACAGCCATTTTGACTGTGTTTTTGTTTTATCGTTTTTTAAAAAATGTAATCTTTTTTACATGTTTGCTTTTTAAAAATGGTATAATATATACACATATATGCACATAATTATAAACATAAATAAGGCTATATATACATATATGTGTGTGTGTGTGTATGTGTGTGTGTCTGTGTGTTTCTGTGTATCATCTCTGAGTTTAGGCAGAGAGGTAGAAAAGTGACTTGGCCTACCTTCCTATACCCTGAAAGAATTTCATGGAAATGCTGAGTTCCTAAAACAGGAAAAGTTCTTTGGCTAAGAATAATTAAGATGCTATAGGAGAAGATTTTACTTTGGTCCACAATGGTGGAATGATTTGTCCACTAAATATTTTGTTTATATTTGTATGAATTATTTTTAAAATCTACTTTGCTCATGTACATGAAACATTTAACCCAAGAGCTTGGTACAGCCGTGATCATTTAACAGGTATTAGATTGTGTCAGTATTGATTTATTCATGCCCACAAACATCACATCTCTAGAAAATGATACACATGAACCAGGGACATTAGGGATAGACATGATTTGGAAGGTATATCTGCTGTCTTCTGTTCAGATTAGAAATTTCTTCAAATCAGACGCCTTTGAATGTGTATAATTCTGTTGTCAACATAGATTGGATGGATTTCTTTTGAGCTCAACATTTCATGTGAGCAGTGTCTGCTGGATCCTGTAAAACAACCAATATTCTGCTTCTTATTCCATTGAACTTGTATTTGTGGATCACTTGCTTTGAGTAATTTCCTGGGCAAGAATCTGTGAATACAGAGGAGAAACACATAGTCATGGATGTGCATTCAGATTGCGATAAAAGGAAAAAGACTGTAACATTGGTGAAGCTCACTTTTTGAAAACAACGAACTAGTTTTGATTTAAAAATATACATGTGTGTATACGCATATATATGTATATACATATCTATACACACAAACGTAGACACATATAAATTCCAGAAACTTCATCATCTTCATGTGCAGAACCATTATGTATGAGTACTATTAAATGAATTAGAAACCACGTATTTTTGAAAAGGTGGAGCTCCCATTTTTAATGTGTATCACTCCTGTCTCTGTGGACAAATTGAATACATTAAGTATCAAATAATAAGGGTAAATAATTGACTGCTATTTGCTCTCATTGCTTTTAGTTGTGCCCACAATGAAACCCACAGAAGCCAACTTGAGAAATGAAAATGGTAAGTTTCAGAGTGTGTTTGCATTCATCTCATGCCATTTCATTTTTCCACTATTAATTATCTTAACTTTTGAAATTCCTTCATCTAAGGTAGAAAAATCAGAATGTCTAGTTGTTCCACAATACAGTAAGTGGCATTTTAAGGTATACCTCATTTCCTCACATCAACCTAATACAGTAAACTACCTATCTTGTTATGAGATTGGTAAATTAGAGGATACAATGATATTCTCTGAAGTATTTCAACAAAGGGAACCCATTCATTTATTTGTTTGTATGATTGGGTAAAGTATGACATCAAATTACTCAGTTTTGGTTTTTAATCATAGGTAAATAAAATTCTCAAACTCAGTCTCTTAGAAATATGACTTGCCTATTTTTCTCTCCCCAGAAAGAATTGTACTGAAATGCTCTCAGTATCTGTCATTTAAAATAGGTGCATTTTCTAATCATACTAAACATATTTAGAGATTATGTTATTTCTACTAATAACTCTCTCACAATCATATGTATTATTTTTACAAAGTAATTTCCACATTCCCTCTTTTAGTTTCCCTCAAAATCCTTTGAATTCTGGCCCTGCCACACACTGGTAGGAATCCTGGAAAGATAAATGTACTCTTTACCTTTTATTTTCTCATTCATGTTATTGGAACTTTCATAATTCAACTCACTTAATTGTGAATGAGGACTTAAAACAAGATAATGCTTGTGAGGCATTAACTTGTGATCAATGAGTAGGAACCAATTTCATGAATGTTGTTCTCTCATGTCCACAAACACCACACTTCCAGAAAATCATGTGCACCAATCAAGAATAATGGAGAAATGCATGATGTAGAAAGGTTCAACTGCTTCTAGTATTTACATGAAAAATTTCTTTAAATCAGACTCTTTCCTTTACCTGTTGATTCTGGGAGTGGATGGATTATTTTAGAGTTTAACACTTCATATCAGCCATGTGTGCTGGATCCTATAAAGCAGCCAATTTTCTGTTTATTTTTCCATTGAATGTGCATTTGAGTATCACCTACTTTGGAGCACACACTGGGTGAGGAGCTGTGAATATACCAGAAAACCAGACAATCTTGGATATGATACACTCCAGTTGTGATAAAAAGGAAAAAGTTATCTGCCAGGAAGATCAACATTCTTGTATGCAAAAACGTAGTATAAGAATGATACCTACTGAATTGCATACAGTGAACCTAATTACCTTTGGAATTATGGGGATCTCATTTTAAATGATTGTCTCTCTATTCTTGACAGACACATACGTATTTATTTATTTATATGCAGAGTAACTGTGTGTATACACATACTCATACACTTTTAAATAATAGAGGAATTATTGACTAGTACTTGCTCTCTTTTCTTCTAGCTGTCACCACTATTAATCCCAGAGAAGCTGATCTGGAAGTTGAAAATGGTAGGTTTTAGTGTATGTTTACCTTTATCTCATGCTGTAGCGTTTTCCCCTCCTAATCATCTTAACTTTTGAATTCCCTAGTTAAGGAAAAGCCAGAATAGCTGGCTTTTGCAAAATAGTCTGACATTTTAATTAACCCATCATTAATTAATGACTCCCAAAAGTCATAGTGGGTAAAAGCAACTCTTGTCTCGAGTTTTATTCAAAGAAATCGAGATGTGACTTTTCCTACCTTGTAACATAAGAAATAACTGAAGAAAAATATTCCCTCTGCTAAAGTTGGCTGGTTAAAAAAAAACAAATAGCTCATGTGCTCAGAATATTTAAAATACAAGAAGATTGTCTATTATATTCTTTATACTTAAATTTTTATTCATAATTTAAGTATTCAGTTTACTTAAATCACTTGTCCTATTGTTCTCAGAAGCAGAACACCTACAAAATTTCCATTGATTAATAAGTGTACCACTTATGGTAACTATGAAATAATTGTATTTTTAAAGGTCCATTCTTTTGAGAGAAGTAATGGTTAATTTTAATAATGATTTCTGACCAATTTAAATGCATCCATGTTGATTATATTGAAATATTTTCAGAATTGAGAACTTGATCTTAATGGCTTAAATATTTTTTGGTATTTAAATGAAATAATGCACACAAGGCATTTAACCTAGTGTCTGACACAGCAATGATCACTAATAAGGTACGACCTTTTATTAATATAGATTAATTCTCATGTATCTCTGTCAGTGGATATTACACACAAACATAAATCGCACAAAGAGAGTAAAACATGGTGATGGATAATTGTTTAGTATTTGTTCTCATTTTTTTAACTCATTATGCTACTTCTTTGAAAGAGGAAAATGGTTTTAGTGTACTTTGACTTATGTTAGGCTACAGCTTTTTCTGCTCATGATCGTCTTTATTTTTGAGCTCCTTTCTTAAGGTAGAAAATTTAGAATGGCTGAAAGTTGCAGAATAGACTGAGTCCAATTTTAAATTAATCCATCATTTCTTTATTTTTCATTTTTAATTAATTTTTAAATTTATATGTAATAGCAGGATGCATTAGAATTCTTATTACACAAATAGACCACAATCTTTCATATCTCTGGTTTTATACAAAGTATATTTACATCAATTCATGTCTTTATACATGTACTTTGAATAATATTGTTCATCACATTTCATTATCATTTCTAACTCCATACCTCCTCCCTTCCCTTCCCACCTCTCTGCCCTATCTAGAGTTAATTCATCATTTCTTAGACCTCGTATTATTGTAGCAAATAAATTGTTTTAGATAGGATGATAGTGAATTAGAAGATACAGTGGCATGCTCTGAATTATTTTTACAAACGGACTTCATTTATTTGTGTGTCTGTTTTTCCCTGTAGTGAAAGGAGCAAGCATGATATCAACTTACTTCCAGATTTGTTTGTTTATTTTTAGTATTTTGCTAGCTGCTAATAACATGAACTGTCACAGAGTAATTTTATACAGAAGACTAGAGATGGGGGTCTGCATGCACTTTTGTTCTTAATCCTCAGAAAACCTCTATGATGTGATTCAGCTAGTTTTCTCACATTTTCCAGAGGTGGGCAATGAGCTTAAATTAATGAAGTTTTTTGCCCATTCTACATGTCTATACCAGATGTTTCAATGCAGCTCAGATGATAGAGTTCATACCCTTGCCCTGTTCCACATTCTTCCTCTAAAAGGAGACCTAAAGCAAGGAATTGCTAGGCCAAGGCTCTGAGACCCTACGGCCATATGGTAGTGAGGGTAAGAATATGGGTTCAGAATACCACCAATCTCTAAATAACCAGTTACATAAATATGGGTGAGTGATTTCCATTCTGCAAGTAGTTCTTTGTTAATTTGCCAATTCACAATAATTATATTAAACTCAGAACTATTGGAGTGGCACAAGTCCAGGTGTGAAATGTCTAGAATAGGTTCTTTTTAGCAGGTTCTGGTTCTTTTTCCCTACACATATGCAAAAAACCCTGGTTATTGTTCTCCTGTTTTTTATTCCCCTGGGTCTCTGAACCTCAGCTGCCACCCCAGGCAAGGAGAAGCTGGAACTGCTCATCTAGTTTAGAACAGGGTATCATTTGCACATTTCTGGAGGGCCCTTTTCTGACCAATGGCGAGTTTTATTTAGTTCTGATTGTATGAACGTAGAACCTGTAAAAATTGAAATTATACCAATAATGGTCTTGGTTTGGTGACTCACTACCATTGTATTAAAATAATAATTGAGATAACATATTTCTTTCCAAACTTTGAAGGACATTGATGGCAATTATCCCAAAATATCACAGTTAAAATAAGAGATATGTGGAAAACACTTGTGAATGTACAGGTACCATACATTCCTGGGAATTTGGATTAACCACTTTCTTCCATTTTCTCTAGTGCTTTAAAAAAAAATCTTACACAATCCATGTGGAAGACCACTAAATTTTCTTGGGTTGTACAGTTCCTACATATCCATTGTATTCACAACATGTAAAGCCCAGAGGCTTCCAAATAAATAAGTCTACTGGTATTTAAACTTAACCTGTTGGATGTTGACTGTACTTTCATATGCAGAATCACAGGGTAGATGACAGTGTATTCTATAAAATCATATTGCTGTGGTCATGACCTGGGCCTGACACTTAACAAATACATGCATCAACCAAATTCCTCCTTTCTGTGTCTTCACTTTGTCTGCAAAATGAGAATAAAAATAAACTGTCTCTTGCCATCATGGAACCTTAATAAATATTAAACAGCACTAAAGCTTTTTTTTTAGAGAGAGAGAGAGAGATTTTTAATATTTATTTTTTAGTTTTTGGTGGACACAACATCTTTATTTTATTTTTATGTGGTGCTAAGGATTTAACCCAGTGCCCCACACATGCCAGGCGAGCGCGTTACCACTTGAGCCACATCTCCAGCCCAACACTAAAGCTTTTAATGCAAATTTCCCAGCATACTGTTTGGCATTGTGTTAGTGGTTAGTGAATATTATCTATAAAGACATATTGAGGGTGAAGAAAATCCAAAAATCTAGTTTTACACATACTTTTGTCTTTCACTGGATTCAAAGAACACAGCCCTACTTTTTTTGTTTAAATATTTTTTTAGTTGTTGATTGACCTTCATTTCATTTATTTGTTTATATGTGGTGCTGAGAATTAAATCCAGTGCCTCGCACATGCTAGGCAAGCACTCTACCACTGAGCCACAACTCTAACCCCTACTTTTAATATTAGGAAGCTCCTCAAGTGAATTCTGCAGAGGTTGTTAATGGACTTGAATTGCAAGCTGAGCCTTGCACTGGGTGGTTTGGGTGCGAGTGGTAGATGTTGACCTTTGGGGTTTGGTGGGGGTGGTGTCACTTCAGTGTAGGTCACCAAAAATAAACATCTGTGGCACCCTCCCCCACAAGGGGACCTTTCCTGTCAAATACGGGTGAAACTAATTGTCTGACTTCTCTTAGATGCTCTGAGGTTGCAGTTCACATACACCTCTGCCTACTGGACCTACCTCCTCCTGCTGCTCAAGAGTGTGGTCTACTTGGCCATCGTCACCTTCTGTCTGCTTAGAAGTACAGCTGCTGGTGGCAATGGGAAGAGCTCCTAACAGATGATGGCACAACACAGTCATCTTATCTTCATAGCTTATTGTCCTGAAAAGTGTTTGCTTAGGACCTGGTTGGACTTGTCACTGGGTTCAGGCTTCTTCAATTTTCACAAGTATTATTCTGTCATTGTTGCATAAAGGTTTTTCAAACCAGTGAGCAAATCAGTGAGCAAATTTCACATTCTAATAAGAAGCCCATGGTGGCCTGTAACCTCAGTGTACCCAAAGTCTCCATTAGGCATTCCAGCCAGCCCAAATCATCAAAGCTTTGGTGGGGACAGCATGCAGTTTCTAGTCACAGTGTTTAGGTGTGTACAGTGATGACAGAGAATGGAAGAGCAGTGACTGAGATTGGGGGTCTCTGATGATTTCCTTGTTGTGCCATGCTACTGCCTGAGAATGTTTCTTTGCAAGAGCACAGGATGTCTAGCTACCATGGTAATGCCCCTCCCAAAGAGACTCTGTGTAATAGTCTTATCAGATTTGACCTTGATCTCAGGCATAGAGGATCCCAGGGATAGAGGAATTCTCATGGAAGACAACCACGATGTTTCACTATCTCTGCTACACCTAAGCCTTCCCCCTTAACAGCAACTTTAAACCATGGCCCTACTTGAGTGCTACACAAAGCTCCTAACATTTCACATTGCAACTTTTGAAAAGCTACATAGATGTTTGTAATCCTGTAACTTTCTTGAGCATAAAAAATAATGCTTGCATAGTCTTTAACTGGATAATGTGACATATATAATTAAAGATTGCTGGCATAACTCTTCAGACACTGCTTCTTCATCAGAGAGCAGCTCTCCATCTAAACCCATTTATCTTCATATCTGTGTGTGTTTCATTTTTCTAATCACCCATTGCCCCAGGCCAGTATCACAAATTTGGTTGTGCTTGTCACAGCACTTAGGGTTTTGTATCCTGAAACTACTAAAAGCCTTCCATTTTATACACTCAAAAGCAGCCTTTTTTGCAACTTGGCTTCTTTGCTTCTTTTTCATAATAGATACAATGAATATCAGCGATTTATTTGGAATCATGTGTACTTTAAATTAATGAAACTGAATTGAATGTCCAAAGTGAGAAGCAGCATGACAGCACAACTCTACTTTAGAAATAGTGGGGACCACACTCACATACAGATCACTGTTCTTACTTATCTACAGAGAAGATGAGTGAAATGAAGCAGGGACATAGCTTTTACCAGGAACCAGGCATTCCATGAACCTTCTATGAGCCCTTTAAGGTAGGAACAATTATGGTGTATAGTTTATAGATTGGAAAATATAAATTTTCCCTTATGATCACTATTTTTGAGGTGATGCTCATAATTTAAAGCCAGAGAGACCCAGAGTCTGTGTATGTACACATATGTAATTGACACAATATCATATATTTCTCTCTCCCATTTTTTTGTCACCCATTTTTAATATAACAAAACAATACAATACCAAATGCATGCATCCCTTCTTTGGAGGATCTCACTCATTGGAGGATCCCTTACTAAAGGCATCCTCCAATAAGTGAGAGGACTTCCTTAAGGGTTTGAGTATATTTGTGTTTTCTCTTCTTATGTATATCATGCAACTGTTTTGTCACTAATTTCTAAATTGTCTTCTTATTTGAATAAAACTGTGACCTACTCTGAAATTAACATAATTTCTCCCTTTGTTATAGATGGAATAGAATTTCTGCTTCCCTTTTAAGTGTACATTTGCAACTGCTTCTTTTGGGAAGTGGGCTTTGAGCCTTAGATGCTCTCTCTGCATATAGATAATGTTTTGACTTCCCAGGTCCTTTCATATATATATATATACATGTATGTATGTGAATGCATATATATTCGTGTTTCACCTTCTTACATAAAGTTAGTATACAACGTACATTATTCTGTACTCCTTTTTATTTATAAATCTGAAATCTCTTTTGAGATCAGTGCATAGGGATGTTTAGAGAGCCACAGGTATTTGCCTTAAAATATTAAATCTCATCTGTTCCCTCTGATAGTCTCTTGGTTGTTTCACTATATTCTCATAGTAAATAAACATTTATGTCCATCTGCACATATGTACACTGGTAATTTTGATAGGAAATGCCAACCTGCCCTCCATGGAGAGCCCCACATGGCTCTCCTATCCCCATCCATATGAATTTATGAGTGTGCTGCAAAACATCAGGATTTTGCTAATCTGACAGGTGAAAACTAGGATCTTGTAGTTTTAATTGCTTTTCTCGTTCTTGTTATGAGTGAAGATTAACATCTTTTTTATATGTTTAAGATCTATTTATATCTCTTTGCAACATTTGCTCTGGTCCTTTGACAATTGTTTGCTGTTAATAATAATAGTAAGACTTATGACTCTAGTTTGCTGAGTCTCTCTGCGTTTCTATAAGACATGATACAAAATGTAGTATTTAATGTATGGAAGTTGGGTGAAAAATTAATGCATATTTTTCTATTTTCTTTGATGAATCGTTTGAAAGTCAGAAACTTCTATAAATTTGAATTAAAACAACTTTATATTTAATATTGGAAATGTTTTGCTCATCTACAATCAGCTTCACTTTCTGTGAGATGCATTATTTGAAAAACAAGCAGACATTCCCATTTGGAAACAAAATAAGATCAGTCAGACTCAAAAAATATTATATTTACTTTAGATCTACTCCGTGATGCTCCTGCACTGAACCCACCTCTTTTGGCCACATTCTGTCCCTCTGTTTAAAGATATGGAACCCTCCCTGCCCTGGGATAGAAGAAATGAAGGCAAGAATCTTTGAGATCACTGAGAGTTTGGTGGGGCTGACATCCCTGGCTGGGAACTAGGCATCCCCTCCTCTGGTTTCAACCCTGAGCCCCTCCCCTCCCCCAGTGCACTTGGGCAGCATTGAACGTGAACAGTGCAGAGAGGGAGAGCTGTGGTTATGGGGGACACAGAGTTGCAGGGGGGACTATTGTGGCTGATGGTATTTTATTTTCTCAGACTTCTTTTGTTTTTGTGCTCTGTCAAATGTGGTTGATTCTTGGAAAAGGCTCAGAGTCAAACCGGCCCCTACTGGTTAGGGCAGTTCAGGTGTGGCTGGGGTGTTAGAACAGAAGGTGAGGGCAGTTAAACCACAACCAACTTTGCTCACTTTCAGAAAGCCACAGCTAGTGGAAGGAAACATCCACCTTTATACTGGTAAGGCATGGATGGGACCTGCACTCCCTGCTGTGGTATGCTGGGTTCTCTGGGTTGGATATGAAAAGTTTGTTATCCTTTGTGGGAGGGGGTTGGGAATCTGATGCTCAGGGTTATTCAGATACCACACCACTCCTCTGATACTCTTCTGGTTTTTTCTTTGTTTTTTTGCTTTTGCTTTTGTGGTGCTGGGTTCCAGACAGGACTTGAGCATACTATCTGTGCTAGGTATCCCTGAGCTACATCCTGCCGCTCATGACACTGTTCTGATGGAAAGAGCAAAGGACACATGAAGCCCCAAGATAATAACAAATGTCTGGTTTTTCTCAGGTATTTAATTTAAGGATTCTGGTACCTTCAGGTTAATTTTCTTAGTTTACACGTGTGAGGAAAACCCATGTCCTTGAAGCCATTAGCACAGGTCTGCCTAAATGTGGACAACATCAATGTGCTTTAGGAGCAGAAAGACATCCATAGAATCAGAGTAGTCTCTCTTCAGAGAAAAATGACTTCAGATTCAGCCTAAGTGATGCTTTACATATGACATTCACATCACATAAATCAGTCACTGGAGTCAGCAAGAAGAAGAAAGCAGACTAATGTTAGCATAAAATATAAATGTCTCACCCTTCTCCTGCCCATCCATGCTGCAGAGTGGGTGCTCAAGCCCTGGACTCAATCTGTCCAGTCCCAGGGGTAGTATAGACTTTCCCAGTCTGCCTTCATGGCACATTCTAATCATATACTCATTCTACTTTTTCTATACTCACTGTCATTCTTTTTTTTTATATAAATTTTTTTTGAGAATTTTTTAATATTTATTTTTTAGTTTTCGGTGGACATAACATCTTTGTGTGTATGTGCTGCTGAGGATCGAACCCGGGTCACACGCATGCCAGGCGAGCGTGCTACCGCTTGAGCCACATCCCCAGCCCAATCACTGTCATTCTTTCTATGAGGTTGAGCTCCATTCTACAGGTTTCTCCCTGCGTGTCTGAGTCTGTGTCATGCTCCTTCTTAGGCAAAATTAGTAACCTGACATCTGGCTCATCTGTAGATTTGATGTGGATTCAACTCCCCTCCTGAGACATAAGCATTTTCCTTACTAAAGTTGTGTTATTTCGACATACCAAGCATTCTTTCCATTAGGATCCAGCATGTGACTTTCCTTCAATTATTAATTGACAGGTCAGACTCAGTCTCCCTGAACAGAGGAAGGATCATGATATGAACTGTTAGACAATGGAGCATGCTGGGACCTGCAAAGTCATCCTGCATGTGACCTAAGACCTCTGCTTCTATGGTAGCTTCATTTCCCTGTACTGACTCCCACCTTCCACACATCCAGTTGTGTTTGAGTAGTGTCATGTGCAGTCAACATCCCCAGAGTCTTTTAATAAGGTAGGATCAATCTTATCAGATTTTCAGTTGATGTTTGCCCCAAAGTTAACTTACTGATGTAAGTGAAGGTGGTTCAGGCCATAATAAAGAAGTTTTTTTTAATCAGGACAAGATAATGGCAGCAGCAGCAACCTCAAAACTCTAAACTTTAGGCAGACCTTTTTGTATAAGAAGACATTTTCATCTTGGGCTCTGCCTCCCCACCACGTATGTACTCAATCTGCTTCACTTCTGAGTTTTCCAGTTTCCTGGCTTCTCCTCTTCTGCAGAGGACCTGCACTTGGTGGCCACAGGGTGGTGCTAGAGAAGGGGGCAGAAGGAGAGAGGCAGGGGCTCCTTTCAGCCCAACCCCTTCTGGTAAACAGTTGGGTTGTCTTCTCAGGAAGCTCCTCTATTACTTCTCCTTGCCTGTGACTCATTCAGGAGGATAAGCTGTAAGTCACTTTTGGAGATATCACTACAATTTTGAGCAGGATTTGTTGGAAGGCCTTTCTTCTCCTCTTATCATCTGGTCCTTTTCCTTGTAAGCCCCAGGAAAGAAGGCATGCTGTGGGTTCTGGCCCTACTTCTAGCCATCCTGCCTCCTGGTGAGTATGTGGCACAGATGCCCATGGAATGTTGTTTTCCCGTAAAGAGACCATACAAAAACTTCCATTACCTCTTTGCCATTAATTTTTATTATTGTTACCATTCCAGGAAGTCACACGTCTTCCAGTTTGGAGAGAAGAATGATGTTAGTCACAAATTCACCTGGATCACATGTGCCAATCACTTGTGATTTACGTGAAACAAATAAATTCATCAACTGGTACCAATTCAAGGAAGGCAAGGTCCCAAGATACCTTCTCTACTATAATTTTTTAAATTGCAAGGTTGTGGTGGACTCAGGAATCATTTCAGGGAAATATGATGCTTATAAAGGCCCAGATGGGAAATGTAAATTAGAAGTACGAAATGTGGAGGAAAGTGACTCTGCTGTGTATTACTGTGCCTACTAGACTGGCACAGTGGTTCAGACCTGCCTTTATCTGTACTCAAAATGTTGCTTTGTCTGCTCCTGGTACATAGATAGGGATCAGCCCTCATCCCATTTCCTGCCCCTGACCTACTGTACTCTGAACAAAGGGAAACCATGAGCCCAAACCTAACAACCACTCTGTATTATCCCACTCTCCTCTAAGAGTTATTTCCTGCCTCCATTTGCACCCTACGACCAAACTCCCTTACTGCTATCTCTCATCCTTGGCCAAGCGTGTACACACACACACAAACACAGAAGAATCTCCAGAAAGTTATTCAGTATTTAAAGAGAACAAAAATTTTTCTATCTGTAGACAACACAAAGTAAGATAGTAAGAAGGCCCACTTTGGCTCCTCCTGGACTGCATGCTGCCCAAGAATGGTTCCCAAATATTTTATATATATATATATATATATATATATATATATATATATATATATATATATATATATATAGTTGTGGTTGGATACAATGCCTTTATTTTTTAATTTATTTTTATGTGGTGTTGAGGATTAAATCTAGGGCCTCACGTGTGCTAGATGAGGGCTCTACTGCTGAGCCACAACCCCAGCACCCCCCCCCCAAGTACTTTTGTTTTGTGTGTTAACTTACATGAATATACCCTACACCATCTGGAGGAGAGTATTATACCAGAAAGACTAGTGGAGGAAAGGAAAAAAAAATGTTCCAGAAGAGTGTGTGTGACTGCAAGTTTGGTGCAGAATATATAAAGTACTTAATAAGGATGATAGAAACCATTGAGAGAAATAGTTGTGAATAGTGACAACAAAATCTAAAACCTATTTTTATAACACTTTTGGTTGCAATAAATTTTTATCCCCCAAAGAAATATTTTCTTATACTTGGAAATCTGAAAAATTGTGAAAAAATAGAAAAAAAAAACAGAAAAAATAAAACCTGCTATTTTCTCACCACCCCATTGCTCAACATCTACATTACATCTCTTTCTACTGATCATTTTGCTCTGCCAATGTTGGCACAGCTGTTAATATCTAACACCACATTTCAGCCTTATGTCTATGGGAGGTGTAAATGATAGTGCCATAATATTCTTTTATTAAAAAATTCCATTAGCTTTATATTTGACCACCCAGTCACAAAATCAGGAAATTCCAAAGACTGCCTCTAGAGACATGGGAAAGTGAACCTCAGTTGCAGTGCACAAGCCTGGCTCTCTCAGATTAGGAGCTCCCCCAGATTAGGAGCTCAGAGACTGGGTCTGGTCTGAGAGCCCAAGAACCCATAGCTTCCTTTCAGAGCCAGGCCTCCTCCTTCCATATCAACTGCCATCTCCTTGTGGCCATAGGCCTGACTACTACAAGATCCTGGGAGCAATTAGCAATCTTGAACCTGCGTTTTGCCTGGAGTAAGGGCTGGGTTTGTCTCTCCAAGCATGATTGCACGTGTTCCTTGACTTATTTTTCCCAACACCCTGTCTTGAACCTAAAGGCAAGACCAGTTCTGTGTCTTCAGAAAAAATTCTGAAGTCACAGAACTGGTCTTGCCTTTAGATTCAACCTATGCCCTGGGCCAATTCAGGCCTCTTCTTTTGGGAACACACATACACCACCTGATTCTCTAGGACCATGTCATAACCTGCAATTTCCGATGCATGAAGAGATTACCTACTACACCTGTCCAATTTTGAGGTTAAACAATCATAATGCACATTTCTTGAGAGCTTTCGATGTATCTATGACTATACTAAATACTTTGCTTACAGGATTACACTGACACATGAAGCAACTACCTGGCATCCTTTTCACAGAGTGGGAAAAGGAGGCAAAATAACTTGCCCGATACCAAAACAACTCTTTGTTATTTCAGGGCACTGAAAATCTCCCACATGACCACTGAGTGGCATGCTCCCACACAGCTCAGATAGAGTATGCATTTTTGGCAG